AATGGTAAATTCTGGAGAGGCTGTGGGAAAACATGCACATCAGTATATTGCTTGTGGAGCTATAAACTAGTCTAGCCATTCTGGAAAGCAATTTGAAACTACCTCCACCCCCCGAATAATTATTAAACCACATATCTCCTTTAACCCAGAAATAACATTACTATGTCTATAATCCAAAGAAGGCAATGAAGGAGGAAAAAGGGACACACACACACACACACACACACAGACACACACACAAACATTTTATGTTATGCTTTGGAATATGTATTGGGTGTATTTTATATACAATATTTGTATGTATTCACACATGATGGAAATGATTATTTTTTCTTACATTAATAATCAATTATTGAATTAGGACTAGGATTTTTTCTCTTTTCTACTTACTTATTCAGAAATCAGAAACCCTGTAGGTTATTCAGGCAGTCTTTGAAGCACAGGGCTGATAGAAAGAGGGAAAACTCAAATTTGTTCCATAGGTAAAATTTAGGCAAATTGATGAATTCTAGCCCCTTGTGTTTTACTCAGACAGGTCTGGGAAAAAGTGGATTCTCCATTTTTTCCCCCTAGATTAACCTTGATGGGGTTATATGAGTATAGATAAGTCTCTTTGACCAAGACTGAGTGATTGAGTCATATGAGTTTTCCCTCTTTCCATCAACCCTCAGACCCTCATTAGAATAAGCCCACCTCTCATAATATTTATTCTCTTATTATTTGTTAACCAAAACAGTTGATTACCACCCTCTAGAACACCCACTCTTCCAAGGACATATAAGCATTAAGTGGGTTCCGTGAGAGATCTTTAGCATTTGAGAGTGCCACTGAACTCTTTTATTAATTATTGATAGCATGATTAATAAAACAATTAATTACCCAGAAGCTATGTTTCTTGTGCTTTTCATACATTACAAGCAAAAATATTTATAGCAGTTCTTTTTCTGGTGACAAAGAAGTAAAAACTGAACAAGTTCTCATTTATGAATTTGGTGGCACACCATTGTATAGGAAATGATAAAAGGGATAGTTTCAGAGATACTTGTAAAAACTTGTATGAACTGTTACATTATCTGCTTGTATATATCTGTGCACATATATGCATATGCATACATATATGCACACATACAAAAGGAGTTTTGTCTTTCTTTTTCTTTTTTCTCATTGGGGGTAGATAGGAAGGAGAGAAGTAATTGAAAAAAATTCAACTTGATTTTTTTTTACGGAGTAATTTATAATAAGACTAAAAAGGCAGGTGGGAGCTAAGTTTAGAAGGTCTTTAAATGTCTACCAGCTTCATCTATATTTGACCCTAAATAAATTTTTTATTGTTGTTCATTTGTGTCAAACTCTTGGCAACTACATTTGTGGTTTGTTTTCCTGGCAAAGACACTGGAGCGGTTTGCCATTTTCTTCTCCAACTCATTTTTGCACGTGAGGAAACTGAGGCAAACAGGGTTTGCCTAGGGTTACACAGCTAGTAAGTGTCTGACACCAGATTTGAATGCAGGAAGATGACCATTCCTGATTCCAGCCCCAGCATTCAATCCACTGTGCCCCCTAGCTGCCCCCTAACCATAGACAAAATAGGAATCCACTAAAGTTTGTTGAGCAAGAAAGTGAGTACATCAGACCTGTATTTCAGAAATATTGCTTTGGCAGCTATGAGAAGGAAAGTTGGAGAAGGGAGAGATTTAAGGTGGGGAGGTAATTTAATAAGCTATTATAATAGTCCAGGAGAGAAGTGAAGAAGCCCTAAACTAGGATGGTGAGGAGACAGATATGAGAAATATTGTAGAAATATAACCAATAAATTATGAATCATTGGATTTTGGGGGTGAGACACAGTGAGAAGTCAAGTGGAATTTCAATGTTGAGAATGTTGTATGATTAGAAGGATAGTGATGCCTTTGACAGACAAAGGGAAGATGAGAAAAGTAATTGATTTGGGTGTTAGCAAGGAGGGAAAGAGAAAAGGAAGACCCAATAGATGAAAAACACCTACTGTTTTTGCAGGGCATCTTCTGGATATACCTCATAGTCTGTCCCTTGGGATGAAGCCAAGAATTTAGTTTGATTCAGTCTGGACCCTGAGGACCCATAAGACCATGATGACTTATAAGAGTGTGGGAAATGGACTTTTAAAAACATAAGAGATGTTAAGTCTCAGGAATATAGAGGTACTTAAAAGCTTGCACCAACAGCTTCACATCTTTCAGAATCCTGAGTGATTTTATCAGAGTCTAAATATCAGAGGACTAAAAGTTCTAAAGGGCCCAAATTTCTAGATTCGGAATTTGGAAGCCAAGGGCTATCTCTACTTGCAGACCATCAATAATTGTGTACCAAAATATACACAGAGGTGCTTAATAAGTGATTATGGAAATTTAAAAATACCTTGAATACTGAAAAATATAAATCAAGGCAATGCATTTTTTTATTATTTTTATTTATAAGGCAGAGTGATCAGGGTAAACTAGAAGTATGCTGTGTAGAAATTCCCAGTTACCAGCCATTGCTTCTACAGTAGAAATAGAAAAAAGATCCAAAGTTTATTTCTAAGTAAAACTTTTGGGATCTTATAGACAAGAACATTCATGAAAAATATTTCCTGATTAATGATTTTGTGGGTAATGTACATTATACTTTTGTATCTTAAAAAATGAAATATTCCTGAAAATACTTCCATAACATAGATATCCTCACTATTTCTAAACTTCTTTACCAATAGCATGTTGTTAATAATTGTATCTTTATAACATCTTGTAAAGGAGCCTACTTTCTGTTATCTATGAGTTCCAATAAAAAAAGCTAAAGAAACCAAAAAAGGTTTAATGTCAGTAAGTAAATAAACTCATATTAAGCACTTGCTGTGGGCCAGGATCTATGCTAGGTATTGGGGAAACAAAGAGGTAAAAAATCCCTGCCCTTAAGGAGCTCATAATCTGATAAGGGAGACAACAAATGATTATTTCCAAAGAAGCTATATAAAGGATAAATAGGAAATAATTAAAGGAGAAAAAGCACTAGATTGGGAAAGGTATCTTGCTGAAGATGAGATTTTAGCTGGGACTTAAAGGAAGCCTGGGAAGACAGTAGGTGGGGATAAGGAGGGAGAGCATTCCAGTGCTAGGGTACCACTAGATAACATGCCTGGGGCTGAGAGATGGAGTGTCTTGTTCGTGAAACAGCAAGGAGGCTAGTGTTACTTGATGGAAGAGTACAGGTCAAGATGTAAGATAGAAGACTGGAAAGGTAGGAGGGTGTTTGGTTATAAATGGCATTGAATGCCAAGTGCATTTTGTATTTTATTCTGAAAGCAATAGGGAGGCACTGGGGTTTATTGAATAGGGGAGAGACATGGTTAGACTTGGACTTTAGGAAAATCAGTTTAGTGGCTGAGTGGAGGATGGATTGGAATGAACAAAGACTCAAGGCAGGCAGAACCATAATCAGGCTATTGGAACAATGCAGACATGAGAAGATGAAGGCTTGCATTAGAGTGGTGACAATGTCAGAGTAGAGAAATAGGCATATTTGAGAGATGTTGCAAAGGTGAAATAAAGAGGTCTTGGCAACAGATTGCATATGGGGAAGGGAGAATGAGGTGAGAGATGGTCAGGAGTCATGGATAACACCTAAGTTACCAGCCTGAGAGACTGGAAACATGATGTTGCCCTCTACAGTAGAAGGGAAGTTGTGGGAGGTGGATTTTAGGGGGAAAGATAAGTTTTGTTTTGTATACGTTGAGTTTAAGATATCTACTAGACATCCAATTGGAGATGTCTGTAGTTAGAAATGCAAAACTAGAGGTCAGTAGGGAGATGGGGGAAGGATAGATAGATATGTGGATTATTAACAGAGAGATGGTAATTAAATCCATGGGAGCTAATAAGATCATTAAGTAAAATAGTATAGAGGGAGAAGAGAAATGGACCTACACCTGCAGTTAAAGGGCATGATCTGGATGAGGATCCAGCAGAATCTGAGACAGAATTGTCAATATTCATCTTTAAATGTAATTCAGCCTTGAATATCTATGGAAAATAACTACCATTCACTAAATATGGAAGAGCTGATTTATTTCCTGCAATTGTTAGCATAGCCTTCATAAGTTTCTTCCCTATTCCATACTTTAGAACTAAGCTTGATACTAGAAATTCCTCTCCAAAGTTTATTTTCATGTATAATATCATTTTCAGATTGGGGATGAATACAACAATAAATTCAGCCAGGTCCCAATTAGTGTGAATAATGAATTCCTTAAAGTGGTTGCACATATGCAAATTTGAAATTATATTTATATGTAAAATATGGTAATTAGTTCCAATCCGATGGAAATATGTAATGCAAATTCAAATACTATGACCATTTCAGAAGATTCTGTGTTTGAACTAATTGGAAACTGTGTTTTGAACTTTGCTTGTCTACCACCTTTTCTAACATTAGAATATTATTTGTGAGGTGATTAGCTATAGCTATTTATGCTTTCAAATTCACTTAAAGCCACCCCCCACCCTATTTAATTTCTGTTGTACTGCCATCAAAAAGTCCAACTATTGTCAGCATTAACTGACTTCATTAGAGACACATTGACCCTTTAATTCTGTTTACTGGATATTCAGAAGGGTTTCCTAAATCCCACACACTTAACCATCTGCAGTATTTGATGGCAGGTTTGAGAGAGAATGAATCTTGCATTAATTCCCAGCATGGAAGGCCTTTCAGAGATTGTTTAGGACATGGAGTTAAGAGAAAGAAAATGAATAGATTGTTAGCTGCTTCCATATCAGATTTTGCTGGTGTAGTGTCATAAAAGTGCATTTTGAGAGCATCAAAGATATTGATATTCAATTATAAAGATAAAATTATGTTTAAGGTCAAATAAGTAGTTTGGGGGTTTTTGTCCATTTTAGATTATATCCATATATATCCTTTGTTCCATTAATGTAAATAATTAAGAACAGATTACAGTTTGAAAAAAATATATATTTTTTTACCTTCTTCAAGGAAAGAATGCCTTCTCTTGTCTCTTTGTCAGTTGATATGGAGAATACTCCAATGCCATCACCGTTGATGATTGTGTATTTCATGTCAGCATTTGTTCCAGTATCAGCGTCATTTGCCTTAATTTTTCCTACAGCTGAACCAACTTGAGCTGATTCAGGGACATATAGCTGATAGTGTTCTGGGGAGAGGAAATAAATATCAATATTAAAAAAACAACAACCTATAATGGTATATCAGTAATATTTTACAAGTAATATAAAATAATTGGTATGATTATCACATTTTAATACCTGAATGTTTTCATATCCCATGAGCAAGTATGCTAAAACTGCATATATAAAATTGTATAAGCCTGATTTCCAGATTTAGGATATGTTGTATTTATAATTGATACAAAAGAATAAACTTTCATTACTTTCATCTTATAAGCAAAAATAGCTTTAAGTTTTTTGTTGATGTTATAATTGAATGCCAAAGAGTCTTATGGATGAAGTCTGTTTCAGTATTTGTCAGAAGCCCTATAAATGGTGGAGGACATTAAACAATTTCTTCTTGTCTTCTATCCTCTCTTCACATGGACCTACTTTTTCTAGATAAAAGGTAAACCAGTCAAAAGGTAAATTCAGTCTATCTTTGGTTTTCCAACTTATATATCATTCATGAAGGATGATTGAACAAAAAGGAAATGGTATAGAACCATGGCTTTTATAGGAAAGATATATAATGAAAGAAATACAAATTAAAATAATGTAGAGAAATAGTTACCAATAAAATTATATATAAATTCATTCAACAAATATATACTAGATATATATTGTTTGCAGAGAATTTGCATTTATGGCAATGATACTATTAAATTGTTATCAGGATAAATGAAATAGAATAAAATTTTACAGCAAAATTAATTAACATTATCATAGGTTCTATAGAGATATAAGGATGCATATACCAGGTTGAATATATCATGGATTATAAGGATTAAACAACTGTGCTGAACTGTGACCAAACTAAGTGGTTACACTGAGGTGGGAGTATATTCTAAACATGAAGTGCAAGCTCTGCAAAGTTTTGGAGATGGAATGCTAAATTCAAGGAATCATAAACAGTCCACCTTGGCTAAAATGTAGAGCATATAAAAGGGAATAATGTATAGTGAGCCCAGAATGAAGGCTGGACCCAAACAGTGAAGGGCTTTCAGTAACTGAGTTTTTATTCATTCATGAGTGTGGTGACCTGAAAAAAATTTTGCTATTAATATCATCTTTTTCTTTCAGAACCTAAATTAGAGTTATTTTTTTTTCAGTTGGGGCAAAAATATTTGAAGAGGGATGGGGAAAAGAAGAAGGTGATGTCAGAAACTAAATTTCAACCTTCAGAGCAGATTATTTTGGTGAAGGGAATGGAGCACCTTGCAGAAAGTCTAGCCAGTCTCCCCACAAGAATTAGAGAAATGAAGCTATGTGAGAAGGATGTTACTGGAACCAAATCATGGGACCAGGTAATATAGCAAGATTGTATCTCATGATGTAGGCATAGAGAAGAGTAAGGTACAAAGCCTGGAGGTGCTGATTTCTAGGCAAATAGTGGAAAGAAATGGACTTTTCACCTCTAGAAATTAAGCATGGGCTCTGAAGATATTTCCCTAGAGTAAAGCTGTGATTACTCTCATCTAGTAGTATGTCTGCTTTATTTTTTTCTCTTGAAAGTTCATTATTGGATGAGAAATTTCATATTTGGATGAAAATTAAATCAGAAGCTTTTTTAAAATTTCAGTTCAGCATGCTTCATCTGGAAAGATCTTTATAGTTCAAGGATACTATTTTAAATTAACACCATATTTACAAGGTACATGGGAACTACCAAACTGGGCTTCTTTTTGTTAATTGCTTAACCACTCAACCTAATTTTTTCTCATTTGTTTTCTCATCTCTCATGACCATTTCAATTCCAAAATTCTATATAATTCTGCAAATTCTGGTTTGGGAATGTTGTTTATTGGGTTGTTATGCTAAATTTTATTTTTCTGTGAAACTACAGGTTTTTTGAATGTGAGAAGTTTGTATATATCAGTGTGCATGTGTGTGCACCTATGCATAACTTTTATATTTAATTAGGTTTCGATATATGAGTTTGAGTGTATTTAAGATTTCTGCATTAAATATGACAAATTTAAAAAAGTGACAAATAAAAACAGGTTTTCTACTTAGAAGCTTTTTTTTATACCCTCTGGGATGTGGTATTGGAGCAGAAGGATCAAGACTAATAGTTTTATCAATGCAGGAAATTTCTCTGGAAGAAGCCCCTGCAAATGCTCTGGATCAGTGGTGCCAAACTCAAATAGAAATGGGGGTTACTAAACTGCAAATAAAGATCCTTGCTGTTGCATATTGACTTAGAAAATGACATTATATTTTATTGCATTTTTATTTATTTGGTTAAATATTTACCAATTACATTTTAGTCTGGTTCAAGCTACTTGGTAGTGGTTCATAATACCTTTGATATGTCTGATCAGACAGTGAAAGTTTGTGACTCACCCAACATCTCAGTTAACATGTGTCAAAATCAATACTTGAATCCAAGTGTTTCTAGCTCTAAAACTAACTCTCTATATACTACCTAAACTGGGAAGTTTAAACATGGGCCAATGTGTTTAATGCTTTTTTTCAAATCATAAAAGTAATAATGGTTGGATTGATTCAGTGTAGTGAAACAACCATGAATTTTTCTTGAGAATTAATCTTGTTATATTGCACCTATTTTAATGACAACTAACTATGACATAAAATAGAAACATAATTGAAAAAAATAAATTAGTCACCTTGAAAAAAGCATCTGAATTTTTTTTAAAAAGGTTATGAGCACCTATTGTGAGTTAAAAGGTAAAGAGAAAGAGAAGAGACAAAAGGAAGACTTGAGAGGAGGAAAGGAGGAAAATAAATAATAGGACAACATCTTGGAAGACAGGATATGAAGAATGAAAGTGATGAAGCACCACAAAGTTGAAAATTCAGAGGAAATACCCAGCAAGATGAATACTCTACCTAAAGAATCTTAGACATTGAGAGAATAGAAGAGATGGATGAAAACAGATAGTAACATGACAATGATCAATGAACACAACAAACTTTGTGGGATCCCAAAGAAAAACAACACTGAGAACATCAGCAACTGAGTTAGCACAAAGCCAAAAAATTTCCAGGGAAATAAACAGTGAAAGATATGGAGACATTTTCTGAGTAATGTATTTCATTGAGCCTAAAAAAGTTACATAGACAGTTTTAAAATGATTAACATCAATGTAGTAGTATTGCTTTAGAGGTAAATCAGACCTTAATGATTTAATCCCATTCCCTCATTTCCTAAATGAGGAAACTGAGGCTGTGACATGCTCAATAGGGCACAGATTTTAACAATATATACTGTAGTTTCTTAGTATGCATTTATATTTGAACTCAAGTGATGTATAATGATTCATCTATATTAATGATAAAAGTAAGATTGGTGGGGCGGGGTCTAGATCTGTGATTCCATTGAACAATTGACTTGGTCATGGTCACACATAGTCAGATGCAAGACTTATACCCAGATTGTCCTAGCACCAAGACACATCTCTGTCATCCTGTCAGGCAGTTACGGATGGATAGCATTTATTTAGCATTTTATGATTAACAAACTGTTTAAGATGATATTTCTGTTGATCCTCACAAACTCTTTTAGAGTCAGGCATTTTACCTAATTTGTAGATGAAATGATACATTGTAAGATTTCTTTATTATTATGTGATTCTTCCTATGAAAGGTAATTAAACTAATACAAAGATACAAGATTTTCAGTTCATTCAATTTAATTTAATTTAACAAAAACTTGTTAAACTTCTGTTGTTACTGTTTGGTCGTTTCAGTCATATCTGACTCTTCATGACCCCATATGAGGTTTTCTTGGCAAAGATACTGGAGTGGTTTGCCATTTACTTTTCCAGTTTATTTTAGAGATGAGGAAACTGAGGCAAACAGAGTTTAGTGACTTGCCCAGGGTCACACAGCCAGTTAAGTATATGTGGTAGAATTTTAAATCAGGTCTTCATGACTCCAGGCCAGGTGCTCTATCTACTACACCTCCTAGCTGTACAATATGTCAAATAGCTACTGGGTAAAAGACCACTATTTTTGTCACTGAGAAGGCAAAGATAAAAATAAGGTGTCTTTGCAAGGGAAATATTATACTTTACAAAGAAATCTGAAAATTCCAATCATGAAAAAAAAGCAATGAATTTGTGCAAATGGAGAAATATCTAAATATTAAATGATTATGCAGAATGATAGCTTCCTTATCTTATGATAAGAATATGAACACTTTCTTTTAACTTTCAGTTGAAAATAAATTATATTATCCACAGAAGTTATATAACAACTTGAGAGAAATATTGAAATGTAAGATTCTAGAAAGACCTTTTGATCTTTATGATTTATAGTTAATATTTCCTTATTGTTGAAAATATTTCATTTTCTAGACAGTCTATCGGTTACAGGAAAAAAAAAAGTTCCATGTATTGGTAAACTCTGTTGTCCGCACATGATAAAAGATACAAGGATTTAAGATCACTGAATTTGTTATACACATAATGATATATCAATATTGTTTTAATGCACAACTAATTAACTTCCCAGGGAAGAAATGAATCCTTGATAATTTCACAATGCAATCTAATCATCATTTCTAATGTTGCCAAAAAATTCCTTAGAGAACTTTGTTTTGAGGTCAAGAAAGGGCCAAGAATAAAGAGATATAATATTACCAATGAAAATACAAAGAAAACAAGGAAAGTCAAATGGGGCTTCCCATCTGTCTTCTATCTCCTTACATATTATCCAGATATCATAGCAACCTAGCTAGTTAAGTAAGCCAATTAACTGAATGTGATTTTTCCCTCAAAGGAGCAATATTTCATAGCTTTATTCTAGGTTTTGTATATAGTTTGTCCCTTATTTGAAAAGATGACTCTAATGGCAATGTTGTTTTGTAAATGTAAAGGGAAATGTTTACATATTTGAAATTTATTCAGTTCAATAAACGTGAAATGACTACTATAGATATTATGTAAAAAGCACTGTTTGTCACTGAAGATACAAAGACAAAAATGAAGTAGCCCCCATCTCAACCATTATCAGAGATCAA